AGAAAGTTCAACTAAAATTAAAAAATTGCATAAAGGAAATTTTTGCACACGCAGCAGTACATAGCACGAATTTAGGCGCCCGGTGTTAGCAGTCGCGCCTAAACAGAGGGAGATGAAGCACCACACGTACATAGTGATGGGCAAAAAATCACTATCGGCGACTTTTTCACAGCGATTTTCAAGTCACCGTTTATCACAGTGATTAAAAATATTAAATCACCGTTTTCCTATTTTTTCATTCTACCACGTGTGCCATCACTATTACTGTTGAACCATTCACAATTGCATCAATCGCTGTAACTGGTAAACAGTACTGCCGTAAAGTTTTAAATTAAGATCTTCATTTAAAGGGCAAAAGCATGCTTGATACAAGTACTATCTTCGCGAAGTTTTGTCTCATGTATTTTATGTACATATTAGGTTTGGATTGTTTCGCTTTATTGTAATAAAATCGCTTTACTTTTTACAAATCTGTAAAAATCTATTTATTAGCTTAAAGGCCGATAAATTCGAAAGCTATTAAATTTTTCTCCCAAATCCCTCTAAAATACTTCACTTGTTTGGATTTTTACTTTAATCGGAATTTCACTAACGGCAACACTACGGACCAACGTTTTCCGTTGAAAACACAAAACACTTTTTTGCTGGTTGCAAATTCGCTTTAACTAATTGAATAAAAGCCATGGAGAAACGAAAAAGGAGTGAACTTTGGAAACTATTTACAGCAATTGACGGATGTTACGCGAAATGTAATGTATGTGCAGCTAAGTTGTCTTGTAAGACAAGTTTATCGAATCTAAAAAGACATTTACAAAGCAAGCATCCAACAGTACCTGTCCCTTCAGTACTTCCACAGGTTAGTTGCATACGTTTTGTTTCAAAAACTATTTTAACGGGTTTTCATAAATGTTTATAGAGTAGTAAAAATGCTGGTGATAATGTTGGAGACGTCGTTGTGGAGACAGATGTTAATACCATACGAGATTCGGCAAGTGCAACAAGCCGGCAGCCAAAAATTTCTTCTTTCGCTAAGTTGCCGTTAACAAAAACGAACAAAGAAATGATAGACTGTAAACTCCTCGATTTATTCACTGAAAGTTTTCAGCCGTTCCACTTGGTAGAAGAAGAGCCGTTCAAAAAATTTGTCAAGGCTTTAAATCCCAACTACGAATTACCCAACAGGTATCTCATTTCTCGCACGCTGCTTCCAGCTTTATATGAAACATGCAGAATTTCTGTACAAAAGTTAATGGCTAAAACACAAAAAGTTTGCTTGACGACAGACTGCTGGACGTCTTGCAACAACGATAGCTACATGGCTGTTACTGCGCACTACATAAATGAAAATTTTAAAATGGTCTCGACACTCCTAGGATGCCCGCAAATGTTGGCAAGTCACACTTCTGAAAATTCGGCCACTGAGCTTAAACAAATTGTAACAAATTGGGGCATCGAAAAAAAAGTAATCCTTACGGTTTCTGACAACGCAGCCAATATAAAATCAGCTGTTGAAAACAATTTGAAATGGAAACATTTGGGATGCTTGGCACATACGCTAAATTTGATAGTCAAAGACGGATTTAAATGTAGCGATGAAATTAATTTAGTCATCACCAAAACCAAAACAATTGTCGGCTTTTTCAAACGAAGTTCAACTGCCAATTTAAAACTAATCGAGTATCAACGAAACCAGGGTACGTCTCAGCCACTTAAGCTTCTGCAAGATACTCCAACACGTTGGAATAGCACGTTTTACATGTTAGAACGCTTTCTGCAGCTTGAAGAGGCTATAAAAACAACAATTGCTTTAAGTAATGCTGATCTACCTTTATTAAGCTTTACTGAGTGGAGTATACTAAAACAGCTTTGCCAAATACTTAAAACATTTGAAATGGTAACAAAAGATTTTAGTGGCGATTCTTATGAAACTGCATCAATTGTGTTAACTCTTGTCAATGGACTAAAAAAAGTAATTGGAAAGCTTAAAACTCTTGAATTATACGATTGTGTTAAATCATTTTTGGAAAAGTTAGATTATAGCTTGCATAGTCGTTTCGCATATATAGAAAGAAGCCAAACATTAGCTGCTAGCACATTTTGCGATCCCCGATTTAAGTTAGTTCCATTTCGTGAGCCTGAAAGGGATTGGGTGAAAAAAAAGCATAATTGCAGCCCTTTCAGAAAAAATTGGACAACAACACGACATAAGCAACATTCAAGAGACTGGCGATAATGCGGATGAGTTTTCTGTGTGGTTTGAGCACGACAAAAAAGCAGCAAACGTTGTGCCACAAGGAACACCTACGTCAAAAGCTATTATAGAGGTGCATAGATATCTGGAAGTAGGGATAATTTCTAGAAAATCAAATCCTCTTCAATGGTGGCGTGAAAACCAATATATGTTTCCAGTTTTGGCAGAGGTCGCTAAAGAAAAACTCAGTGCCCTTTGCACATCTGTTCCGTGTGAGCGCATTTTCTCAAAGGCTGGGTTGATCGTAACAGATAGAAGATCGCGGTTGAGTCCAGCAAAAACGGAGATGCTTCTATTTTTAAATTCAAATTCAAAATACTCATCTATACAATAAATGCTTATATAACTTATATTTACATTTTCAGCAACACAGAAACTTGTCACTTTTTATTTAAAAATGTAATAATATGAAACTAATATACATTTAAAGCTTTACGAATTGCATTTT